TCACAAGTCCAATTGCTTTGATACTACATATATAGGTACTACATGCGGACCTCTCTCAGATTTGTTCATTTTGTGATGATATCTTCAATTCTCTAATTTTGGTGAATATTTTTGTAATTTTTGGTAAAAAGTGATATTTTCGACTTCTTGTTAAAAACCACAAGTCCAATTGCTTTGATACTACATATATAGGTACTACATGTGGATCTCTCTCAGATTTGTTCATTTTGTGATGATATCTTCAATTCTCTAATTTTGGTGAATATTTTTGTAATTTTTGGTAAAAAGTGATATTTTCGACTTCTTGTTAAAAAACAAAAGTTCAATTGCTTTAATATTACATATATAGATACTACATGTAGACCTTTCTCAGATTTGTTCATTTCGTGATGATATCTTCAATTCTCTAATTTTGGTGAATATTTTAGTCATTTTTGGTAGAAAGTGATATTTTCGACTTCTTGTTAAAAACTGTAAGTCCGATTGCTTTGATACTATACATATTGTTCATTTTCTGATGATGTCTTCAGTTCTTTAATTGAAATGTGCATTTCTAACAGCGGAGCTATCTCAGCCGATAGGCTGCTTGTTTAGTGCTCAAACTCAATCTTTTCACAGTGAGTTGATTAAAATTGGCACGCTAATCACGGGCGGTGTGAAACCGATTCGCTAAACTAGACCTGATGAGTTACCTGGTCTTCGCGTTGCGTTGTACGCCTTGGTCGACCTGATCGACGACGATTGCCCATACTACCTCGCAGAAGAAGTTTTCGCAGGTTGAAACGTATGGAGCCTTCAGAAATTCCCAGTTTTCTTGCTATTTCCCTATTAGAAACTCCTTCTGTATACAGTGCTTCAATGTTCCCTTTAGTAAATTCTGACAATTTCCTAACTTTCGGCATGGCTCAATGTTTGTTAATAAAAATTACGTATCTGACACTATGACCTCGATAGGAATATTCATGAACTACAACTGACAGGTATTCCCGCCCAGAAGTGTCTGTTGAAATAATTTCAGCTTCCCAATTGGTTAAAATTTGCATGAGAAAGGACACGACTATCGCACATGTTTTATGGCGCGAAGTTTTAATAAGATGCAAATGTATGCAAATGAGCGCGCTCCCATAGAGTTAACCATGGGGATTTTCCCTCACTGAAAAAACGTCTACATATAAAAAAACTAAACACAAATCAACCATTTTATTTTGACTAAAATGCACTAGTTCTTCTTAAATTTAGTATATTTTAAAGTCAACACATCATGTTACCCGGAATTGTTATTTTTAGTTACGAAAACGATCAAATGACAGGTGCGTAAATACTTTCTGGCGGGTCTGTATATTGTTATAGCTTTATTAATAATTCAGACAACTTGTGTAGACACTCTGGATGGATTCACCATTCACTGCATTGATTCATGCAAGTAACATAGGAATATAACAACTTGTGTAGACACTCTGGATGGATTCACCATTCACTGCATTGATTCATGTACCTCATGGATGTCTCAGTCTACATGTCACAAATATCTGAATGTGCTGCTTGTCATTTTTATTTTTTTTCACTTTTCTCACTTAGGATTTTTTGAAGACATTGCAGAAGAAGCTAAGATTGACATAGACAAACCATTAATTATGAAAAATGCCTTGCATGCCAGGAAGTCTTTTATCAGGAAAACAAGAAGTTTTAAACATCGGAGAGCAAGAGCTAAATCAGCTGGTTAGTGAAATGAGTTTTTGCTGGGCTGCACTGTCTTGGTTTTGCTTCTTAGAACCACAAAACCTTACACTACAACATTTTGTTGTAGATAGTTTACTTGCATTCAATTTGAAAGTGCTGACATACTTAATGTTTAAAGTGCCTGAGAAATGCCCCCCCCCCCCCAATAGGGTGAGAATAACTATGTTGAAAAAGGTGAACACAAGTAAAATGTTGAGTTTTCCTATTGATTAATGACTCCTGTTTAGGTTTTTTTGTTGACATTTATGAGTCTTTGGTTAATGTTTATCTAGGACGTTTATTTGGCCGTAATCCTCAGTAGTAGTGACAAGTATACTGTATTTTAACAATTGACACATGCTGTGTAGCGCGATGTAGATGTGAAATCTACAAAAAAATAATCCACCAGGAACACACAGGGTGTTGTGTAGTAACTATTTTTGACCAGATAACTGTGTTTGTTTATTTTCAAACTATCATATGGTAATGTGATGTGTGTCCTCGAACTTTTGATATGTGTAGAAAATAAAGGTCACACCGATGACCCTGATGCATGCTCAGATCATTAGATTTGTGTCTTACATCATCAGATAGTTTGGATTGCGACCGTTTATGACTATATATGTCTGCTGTTGACATGTTCATACATGTAGTATGACTTCCATTGAAAATTTAATCCTTTGGGTGTTCTTACAAGTTTGTTACTTTGGACAGTCAGAACTCAGATTTATACTCCTTTTTCAGCCTTGACAAAAAATTCAATGACTACAAGGCCAACAGAACATGGTTATATTTCAATGCATTATAACCAAAATGTACGACATGCATTTCTCAGCCACTTTAATAAAGCACTTATGTAACAATGAGAACAATGGTGTCATTAAATAGTACCTAAGTTGCAGGGTATGGTAGATGAATCAACCTCATAAGCATATTGTACCTTATCAGTATGCAGTAGCAAACCACTCATTGATGTATTTGCACAATTTGCTTAGATGATATCATAATGCAATCCTAATTGTCTCACTCTGTCTCATCTCTTGGTTTCTTTCTGCTTTTCATACATGTGTTGTGACTGTGTTCATTTTAGTAATTATGTAATACAGCACAGTAGTAAGCTTTTAAAATGACACATTTGTTGTACATTTTTTGACTTCCTCACATTTTTTCTTCACATAAATTTTTTTCATTTCATATTTCTTTCTTTGCTGGCCCATATGTGTTTGTGTATCTCTCGTTCTGAAGAACCACGACTGTCTTCCAATGCTAAGAACAGGACAGATGATGACAGGCGAGCAAATATGTCTCCCAGTAATCAAGGAGACCAACATGTTGCCAATAGCAACATCATCAAAACTGCTCCAGTGTCTTCCAGCAGTAACAAAAGTGGCAGCAATATTACTTCCTCTTCAACCAGTAAAACAAAACCACAATCTCGACAGACACAGTTGTAGGAAGGTAACTGTGTTGTCACATTACATTCAGTATGTATCAATGCCTGTTAATGCCCTTTAGTACCCCATTCCTCACATACACAACCTAGCATGTTGCATCAAACCCTTATCCAGACATATGTATATGTGTTATTTAAACAATAGTCAATCTAATGTTGTAATAGATAATGAGAACACTCAGTGAGTTGCTTGTTAACGCATCGTCTAATGAAACCTTCCACAGATAGCCAAAATGAATTGAAAAAGAAACTGCCCTCATCAGCGGGCAAAACAACAAATACTTTTTGTGGGAGGGGCACCTGGCCTATTGCTGGATAGGAAGTGCCATCAAGCCCTCAAAATGTGATTATATTTATAAGTAGTAACAAAATCAAAAACTATAATTTTAGGTGTATACCCAGGGCTTGCATTAAATTATTGAAATCAATATTATTATGAATTATGTTAAATATTTACCTGAATAAAATGACATGGTAACTTTCATGTATGATATTTGATATTGTGATTACTATCAAACATACAAAAGATATGATTATAATAAAGATTATTATTATTTTTACAATTATCTCACTCAGAATGGGATGAAAGTTAAATTTGTTGTGAATTTGAATCTGTCCGTTACATTTGTGAATAATTTTGAACTTTCCCATCCACGGAATTTACACATGAGCGAATTACCTCTATTGTATGCAAATTATTTCCATTTCTGAGACGGCTGGTGTCTATTTTTGACCATGTCCAAATTAATTGAGAATATTAGGAGATGTATTCAAGATTGACAATATATGTCCCCGAAGTGTGATGAAGTGTTGGCCAAATACAGTGTGGATTGCATTGTGTATAATTAGAATCAAAAGTTGAATTTTTGAGATCCATTGCCACCTTCCTCAAAATAAACGCACTTAATTTGTTCTCAGAATTTTTATTCAAATCTGCAGAAATAGTTACAAATTATCTCTATTATCAAAAAAGATTAAATATGAATACGTTTGCAGATAAAATCATCTTTTATCCAAAGTTTTTGCCAAAATACTTGCTCAATTTGTCTTTCTTTGCAAATCATTTTACATGCAACTCATTATTTTCAACATATCCTGGCTCATACTGCATGTTATGCATGTCCTATCAATCCGTCATTGGTCTAATATTTATGTCTTGCATTGTAATTATTGTATTATATTAACATGTAGATTTTGTGTGTTTTTTCAGATCACTGTGGATATTCAGTGCTAGTACATGAACCTGATAATATATATTAAAACAACATTCATACAATGCATATAAAATACCTGATATTTCACTTTACAGGTGGCGACTATGTCAGGAAACGAAAAGAACACATACAAGGTGACATGACTGATATGAGAGAGGCAGCAACAGCGATATCAAACTATCCGTCTCTACGGAGGAGCATGATAGAAACAATCAACCATGATGACGATTTTGATGACATATTCACTGGTGGCATAGTATTTGAAGATGATGTTTAACAGGCATTGATCTTGTCATGTCACCCCTATTGTCAGAAAATGGAATGATCTTCCACTTGTGATCGACCTACATATTTCTAATAATAGGGGTGGTTGGCTTACGTACAATGGGGTTGGATATGGACTGCTCTATTTTCTGTAACTATTTTAACAAACCTGAATCTTGGCCGATAATCCCTTATGCATTTACTTCACTTCCTCTTGCCTTTTTTTCTGTCACTTGACATTCTGTATTGGTGAAATATAATTGGTTTCTTTGAAATGAGTTTTAATATTTTGTTCACTAATAACTGCATTAGAACCAAAGATCAAGTCTATTTTACACCATTTCAAGGTACCATGTCTGCCACATATGTAAATCCTGGAAACCAAGGTGCAATCATAGATTTATGTAATCCTGATGTGTTTGACACAAGAGTCTCTATTATACTGCATTTGCAACAATTTTAATTCCTATTTAGGACAAACTTGTAAATAGTATATTAAATTATAAATATATGGACCCTTTCTAGCATTGTCACTTTTTATTTTGAAATTGGTGCATTTTATTATCATGAAAACCTGATGTTTTAAAGAAATATTTCTGATTTTACAAACATGTGCCTTACTTTATATGTTCAAATTATGTATTCAATATTTGTACTTGAAACATAAATAAAAAGTATTGTTAACATGTGCAAGAGAGTAATAGTAATGCCGAGTGCTTATTCAGCCTTTCAATTATGTGTTTTACCGTATGACTTGTAACAAGGGCATAGACTTGTTTGAAATCTTGCAAGGTAAGGATCTGCAATCCATGGGAGGTAATGTATGTATTTGGATTGGTTCATGACACTGTTGACCACATGGTGTGGTCACAGTACAATACCTATATCACCAATTTCATTGTGTGTTCTGTGACCTGAGAGTAATGTTCCTATATATCAAGAATTAACTTGCATGATTTGTAAGTGTATGAAATACTAATAACCTGACTGAACGTGACCACTACCATTAAACAAAAACAAATCAAACATGCAGTTATGCAGATCTGTTAACCCTCGTTAGTCCAAGGGACTTATAATTCGGTCTCCGTTCGTCCGTGTGAAGTCATTTCTCAGAATTCTTTGGGCCGATTTCGTTCATTCTTTGCATGTGCCTATTACTTTCTGTGGGACATATGCACATGCAGTGGTTTAGCGATTCGATTCAAAATGGCCGACTGACAGTCATCTTGTTTTTTGAAAATGTTCTATTTTGGACATGCTTTGTCAGTTTTCATTCAAATTTGGCAAATACTTTATACATGTTAGGATACATGTCCAGGACAATTTGTTTTAAAATCGGATCAAGGATGGTCGATTGACAGCCATCTGAGTTTTTGGCCTTACTACTATATTTCCAAGATTTATGTACCATTTTCATTCGTGTTTGGCACATGTCAGTTTGTTTCATAATCAGATCAGAGATGGCCGAATAATGGTTGTTTTTAATTTTTGGCCATATTACATTATCTCTGTCACCCATGTATCATTTTCATTGATATTTAGCATGTCATAAATGGATACATGTCAATTCAATTTGATCAAATATGGCCAACTGGCGGCCATCTTGTTTGTTTAAAATGTGATAAGAGGGGAGGCAAGGGGGATAGCTGGTACGGTTTTACGGGAAATAAAAAGGGCTTTTCACAATTTACGAAGAAAAAAAAAGACATTTTTACAGTGTTAACAAATGGAACATTAAATGGTCCGAAGAGCTCTCTGACTCAAATTCTCTGCCATTGCTGCGTCGTGTGAAGAGACGCATGCGCATATTACCCTCGTAATGCTCTTCATTCGGTTAGAGGGCCTTTTACGTCTTGACATTCAATTTTGTAGTGAATTGTGTCATCTAGTCGTTTTACAGTTTCTAAAATGTAATTTCCCTGGATTATTCTTTACGATTTTTTTATTTGGATGTGAATTTTTGTACGTATGAGAAAAATGACACATTTTTATAGTGTACGAAAAAAAGATTTGATTGATTACATTATATGTCTAGCCTGTGATTACTGAATTATGGAATTTATTTTTTCTATTTACGTTGTACGAACAAAAAAATATTGCAATTACGTTGAACGAAAATAACCCTTGCCCCCCCCTCTGATAACTTGTGATCTATGTTTTTTTTCTTTGCTATGTCTTAAACTAAACTGGAGGGGTCGTCACGCAACATTTTCAATGGGTTTTGAAACAAAATTATTAATAAGCAATATGGATGACTAAACAAAAAAAGAAATATATTGGAATCCAAAATCGCATCTTAATAACATAAATACAAACATGGCCATTCGACATAACTGATGTGGAATTCTGTGCTTACAGATGTAAACCCATAGTTTCATTCGAGTAAATTATATGATGTTGTGCACACTATCGGTTGAGTTATCAATATTTCAAGACATAATGGTGGCTTTTTTTAACAGTACCACAACATGGCTATAAAGTCTTGTTTTGGTGGATTCTCATGGTCACTTTCTTCCATAAACACAAATATGGCTGCCAAAGCGGATGGGTACAAGATTAGTAACATAGAAAATATTGGGAACAAGCATGTTTTAACAAAGCTGATTCCAATATAAATCATTTTACCAAAACCAGTTGTCTACATTTCATACGATTCCAATCCTTATCTCTCTGCAAGTTTGTAAATTTTGATTTATATAGTGTATATTACCAAAATGATGAAACACAGAACACTAGTTCATATTGGTCTATATGGAAGGAAAGTGTTTCTATTCCAAATTCCACCACATTTGATTATCACTAGTTATTCAGTAAGCGTTTAAATCAGCCATGTGGTCTTTAAATGGGTTCAATCGTATATTGATTCTACACCAGTCAGTATTTACAACACAAACTTTTTAGCCTTGTTTGGGGATACCACAAGAAATACTGGGATTTCTTCTGTTCATCTATATATCACCATTAGGGAAGCTAATTCATTAACACAACAGATCCATCAGTGTTCAGATGACAACTGGCTAACCATATGCGACCTGCATCGGAGATATAAAGCAGTAGGTGACCCAAAACAAGCTTTGACAAATCCAAGTTTCATTCAGCAGCTCTCATTTAACAACTCTTCATCAGCTAAAAATCGGTTACATCGACTGGTTTGAAATGCAGGAATGGTCCTTGGCAATACAGTTTGTATTTGTATGTTTACATGTCACATAAAGAACACGTGCAAACTTGCACTTCCCACCTCCAATGTAACATGGTATATATCAGAAAATATTTACGTAATACTTCTATTAAATTTTAATTCATGATGTAGTGCAAACTATAAATAGCAAATTCATTATAAGAATTCCCTGACAATATATTTCATTCAACAAATAGAATTTTCTCCATTTTTCAACAATGAGGGCGTATACAGCATAAAATATGCTAAAAATAAACCAGTGGAAGTAAAATTCTATTCTCAAACTATTCTTACACATATAAAGGCTTGAGAAATAGTTTTAGTTTTCTGTATGGTAAAAAATATTAAACATGCAGATTACATCCGACCATCTTTTCATCCTGAATGATGGTGAAGAATTTGGGGATGTTGCTTGACCTGTAAGTATGTATAGGTTGTATTATCGGAATACAAAATTAATCCCTAAAACATCATAGTATCCAACTATTGATAAATGGCTGTGAAAGATGCACAACAAATTAATAACCAAGTCACAGTAATTCAACTTCAAATCTGTTTAATTTTAAATATAATACAGTGTAAATGATGGTAAATTAGGTATTCGTCAAGAATAATTGGAGTGCTGGAGAAATCCATTGCTCTATACATATCTGTACACCATATCCACATAGAACCAATATGCAATTGACAACAGTGTGACTCTGAAATAAAACTGTAAAAGTACACATTAATCAATCACATATAAAATCATACTACAATAAATTTGAATAAAGTTTGAATGCAATTAGTACAAGAATAAAAGATATTGTTCTGGAACAGCATTCTTTAAAATAAAATGGTAAAATTTATTTAAAGTTGTATTGTCTCTTATTTTAATTTGAAGGCCTTTGAAAATGTGTCAATTTGCTACATCAACCAATTAAAACAAGCGCGGTGTTTGTGAGAAATCATGTTTTCTTTCTTGCGAAAAATGATGCTCAGAGCCTAAGTCATTTTTAGTCTTGATACTATAAATCCCATGATGCAGTGCTGCTTAGTGTGCTGCTTCGGGTGAGTGCGCAGTTGATCATGCTATGCAAGGTTCAAGCCGAATACTGTTAACTCTACAGTTTTCAGAGTTGTCTGTACATGCCTCGTTCACATTGTTACATACCTTGTAAAGACTGTATACTTGATGTGAATACAAATACAGTGGTTATCCATCTGAGTAGGATACTACTACTAGCACCCCATATAACTGCTGGTAACACCAATAGTTTACCGGAATTAGACAACATCAATGCACGTACTTGCATACTTGTACTGTAAATGAATAAATTTGTAATATTTGGTGAACAGCTTTGACAGATAGCCGAAATAAATTAGAAAAAAGGGCGTCGCCAGGCAATGTGTTGAACTAAAACTATTTAAAAAGCTAATAAATGTCAATACCTTGACTGTTAAAATTAAAGTGATGGGGAATATGGTTAATAAATCCTCTCTTTGTAATGTTGATTACATCGTACATGAATATTCTCGCATTCAGAAAAAAATATACGATATACTGAAAAAACTGATATACTTACCTTGGAGTAAGCATTGTATTTGTTGTGAATTTCTGATACAACTTACATGATAGCACCACACCAAGTATAAAACATACAAATTCTGTAAAAATAGTAAATTGATAATTCAAATTCAAAATCAATTCACAACAATATTATTGGTCAATCGTAAACGCTTCATCTCTTACTACATATAGGATAGAAACCCAGCAGTAAAGTCCTCTATTCACAGCACACCCAAATGACTACTTGGTTCATGTTTGACAGCTGTGGTTTTATAGCATATTGACCTAGCACAGTAATGCCTCCACTTCTTAGTAGAAAAAAAGTGCCACAAGTATTTCTGAAATCTGTCTTGACAAAGTTGTTCAAATCAACAACTTTGTGTCTAGTCATTTGTCATCTAGATTATAGTATCACAGTTAACCCATGTCAGAGATCTTGTGTGAATACCAAATACATGCAATTATTGATGTTTTATGAAAGAATATTTGAAAAATCAAAATCCATATCACTCGGTGAAGGTGCAACAACATCAGGGTCAAAGGTCGGCTCCAGTCATAAGAAAACAAGTGTATGTATTTTTCATTAGAAAACTCAGCACAACATTCAATTTGATCTTTGAATAACCTTGCCTTTAAAACTATCCTGACGTGAAAAAAAGTATGTTCGCTTTATAATTTATTTGAAACAGAGGAACTTCTATTTGCTATTGTATTACACAAGAGAAAACAAAACACACCTGCAGACAAAAGCCTCAGGAAGGTGATGCTTGAAAAAAAACTAAACCATGCATCCAAGACAAGAGGATTAACTATTTCATTTCACTTACCAAGACCGGCAATAAAAAACATGGCATAATAGTCCCATTCTAATGCATAGTACAGGAAGTCTTTGGTACCATCAGCATTTTGTTCTTTTAGCTGAGTCCATTTCACATAAGCATCACAAAGTAAACATAACACACATAATTTCCAGTGTACCTGTATAGATTGTAACCAAGGTTACACATAATGGTGGGATTCTAATTAATTTAATCCTATATGTGTACTTCCTTGAACCCCCGATTTAAAAGGGTTGCAACAGATAAATAAATTTTCTCATTCTCATGTGGGAAATCACATCCCAGACTCTTGAGGGTGTAGGATTTGTTTATACCCAGCTAATTCACTATACTGTATACATATGCAGACATTTTAAAGGGACATTGTCTTTTTCGTTCAAATCATTAAGCCGAGGATTTTGTAGAGAGAATGTGGCAGATACAATGTGGTTAAATGCAACAGCATTATTACATGGATGATCTCAGTGTCACCTGCCTGATGTAGACCTCAGGTTTCAAAGAGAAACTATTTTATAATACATGAGCAGGATGTTTTACAAACATCTGACATGACTTCATGTAAGCCAGGAGGTTCATAAATATTCATTTCTTTGATGACCTCCACCCTTTAAAGTGGATAGAATGTTGAATCAACATTTTGCTGGGGAAAATCATGACATTAAATGATATGCAGGCAACAACAACTAATGCAATCTGATTAAAACAAGATCCTAGTTTGGGCTATTTTTTCAAATTTGTGTTTAATTATTTATTTTCGTTATACATTTTTTTTACTTTATTTTATATTAATTTATTATTTATTTTCTGGCAGTTTGGTAAAGGTTTTGGTAATCTCAAAAGCGATAGTTAAAAAAAATACCGAAGTACGTAACAAAAAACATGAAAAACAAACAACATAGTTAAATAATATACAATGTAGTAAAAGTAAAATAAATATATAAAATAAAATACACACTGTACAATACATCAGATTTTAATCAGATTGCAAGTAATCACGACTTGATGCTTTTGAATTGCTGATGCAGTGTACAAATAAATGATGGATCAAAATAGATTATTACTTACATTAATTAGGCTGTTATATAATATATGTCTATATGCTTGTTGTTTATGTAATACAGCATCCAGTAAAATGATAACAGGATCAAATTCTATGTACTTGTCAACAATCTTGTCACAGTAACCCTAGATGAGAAGTATTGAAATGATATTGAATGAAGAGAGTATCATAGCAACGTTTTGAATTATAATATCATCAGTTTTGTATCCATGGTTACATTAGATTTATAACATAAAATAGTGATGTTTTTCACCGAGTTACAATAGAAGTTGGACATTAGAAACCCTTGCATGTTAAGAAAATAACATATATTTAAAGGGGAGTCGTCATTACCTGTGCATTCATGCCAAAAACGCAAAGCTTCATGGGTAGTCACATGTTTGTAAACAGCAACACTATGGCTGTCTGTCACATGCACAGGAGTATTTGTGATTGATGAGAATGCAATTACTATGTTGTGTGCTATTTTTTCTATAATTCTTTTTCTTCACAGTGTGAAATACCCCCCCCCCCCCAAGATTCAGGCATGCAGATTTTTTTCTTCTGTCATTATTCCGTGCATGATTTTTGTCTGTGTAATTTATTTCCCAATTCTGCCATCGCCCATTAGTTTCAAATGGTCCATCCCTAACCGTAGTCAAACAAAACTCAACTTGATTTGTAAACGAAATAAAACCTTATTAATTTTTAATTTGAGGCTTTTGCACCACAACAAGATTCTTTTGTTAGTGTCAACTTTTGGCCACTTTGTTATTAGCCAGCAAATATACAAGTATTAGTTCGTTAATGTGTAGTAAAGCCATCCGATCGTCGGTTGGTGTGTTACAAGTATTGACACATACGAAGACTACATTACCCGGTATTTTGTGGTTAGCACTAGTCCCTCAACGCAAACAATCACTTACACAATGTGATATTTTCAATACATTGCTGCTGTAATATCGATACAATTCGCTAGCCTCTTTACCACACTCTATGCAAACATAACTACCGTGTCGTTCAACGGCAGTTGATGTTTTTTCTTGCTCGGTAAATAACGTTGACGTTCTTGAGGACGCAGCCATTTTTTATTCGCCCCAGTCTGACGTTGGTGGCACCCTCTCGAAAAAACATCGAAAGATCGAATTATGTTATCTACGTCAGATAACATAATTTGGTCAAATAGCGAATATCTTGTCGGAAAAGGGTATTTCAACTTGAAAACACAATACTAAACAACCTAACAGTATTCAATATATTGATTCATCAGTATTTACTTGTCTAACATCTCATCGTTTGGGTTAAGGTAGAAGCCCACTCATAAAGTAAAAAAGCTAGAATTTATTCATTTTGCAATAAATTGTACTCCAAGGCAATATAAGGATATTGACCTAAAAAAATCTAGCCTGGTGACATAGGCTGAAAACATTATATGTTGTTAAGGATGAAGTACTTTTTTGTTGTTCTAAATTATTTTAAAAATCTGAGTTTTAAAAAGTGTCCGTCAAAAAATGCAATTTTTCTTTAACATTGTGTTCTATGGAATTGTTCTAAAAGTAGCAATTTTCAAGAAATATTAGGACATGTTTCTCAAAAAGCTTAACTGTAATACACAAAATAATGCTATTTCATTGTACCATGGACATTAACTTCATGATTGTACATAATAAACTAATTAACATTAACATTGTCACGTGATTTATGACCAATTTTGTCAAAAATTATGACTAAGCTTCTACCTTAAGGTAGAGATGCATGTTCATGGGCACTTGGGAGTGAAATTTATTTTTTTTGCTTATTATTATCCAAACAGTCTTGGCTATAGACTGTTAAAATTTTGTAGAATTGTGAATAGTGGAACATACTCAAAAAACGATTTTAAAATATAAATAACAGGTGTAAACATTATCTCTTTTGAATGCTTAGCAAGATTTAGCAAGGCTGTACATACATAATAAAAAAGAAACATGGTGAAAAAAGAAATGACGGGATCTCCATATTATGCACTATATTTAACTTTTAACAAAACGATAATACATTTAAATTTGGAACTGTTACAGCCATTTTAATTATGAACATTAGCAAACTTCTTACTGAGTTAATTTTTATCTCAGCTTCTTTTTAGTGCACATCCCAGAACTTTAAAAAAAATAGCTCCTAGACGCTTTGACCTTTTGTTTTGAAATTTTCACAAATGATAGACAATCTTCAAAACGCCGTCGGGCATTGTTTTTGGTTGAACGGTGTTACAACAATCGTACAGACAACTATCCTGGGTGTTAATTTATGCATAAACTTGAAGTAGTGAAATTTGAGCTGCTGCCCTGCAAAATTGACAACTGGTAGACAGTTTTCAAGACGGCACTTTCTTCATAGTAAACAGATGTACCCATAAACCATTCGTTGACCGATTTTCTGAAACATTTATAGATATTATATATAAAACAAATTCACGCATTGTTTTTATTTTAGTTTGATAAACTCCAAATCAAACTACAACACAATTTCATTTTCGCTATGTGTAAGGCTAACACACCTCATTTTTTTTTTTTTTTTTTTTTTATCAGATTTGTTCTAATTTTTCAAAATATATGATTTAGTATTGTGCCCAAAGACATCCACATTCACATTCCATCCAAGAGTACATAGCACATGTATCATAAACTTTCTGCTCGCGTTAGCTTTTTGGTGAAAATCCAAAAGTGCACTTTTTGAAGTGAAACCGACAATAGACTCCCGAGAAGGGTTTATGTAAGTTCTCTGGTGTCTATTCAGTTACAATTTTTTTCTAACAGAGGTTATGAATGTACCATCAGAAAATGTACAATATGTGGATGATAAGAAATCATTTTTATTAAGGTAGAAGCCTAGTCATAATTTCTGAGAAAATTGGTCATAAATCGCATGACAATGTTAATTGGTTTATTATGTACAATCATGAAGTTAATGTCCCATAGTACAATGAAATAGCATTATTTTGTGTATTACAGTTAAGCTTTTTGAGAAACGTGTCCTAATATTTCTTGAAAATTGCTATTTTTAGAACAATTCCATAGAACACAATGATAAAGAAAAATTACATTTTTTGACACTTTTTAAAACCCAGATTTGTTAAATAATTCAGAACAAAAAAATAAACCTTATCATTAACGATATAAGATTTTTTTCAGCCTATGTAACCAGGCTATATTTTGAGATATTGCATAATATCTCTGCCATAGGAACCTGTGGTAAAAGTGTTATAATAGTGTAAAAATGGCGACTTTCCACTAAAATACAACCATCAATTTCTCGAAAAAAGGGCTGGTGAATATCCTTATATTGCCTTGGAGTATAATTTATTGCAAAATGAATACATTCTGGGTTTTTTTAATTTATGAGTGGACTTCTACCTTAAGAAAGATGGCGGATTACAAAACAAGGCCTCATCCCTTAATCTGTCAATTGCACCAGGGAACCTTGGAACGCTATTGTTTACACAACTTTTGGTTTCAACTGTAATTTTAATCACGCTAAAATAAAAACAAGGTCGCGTGAGTTGCGCCCTCCGCGTTGCTCAAAACCCAACAAAGTGATATCTGATGCCGTTCGGCCGGCGAGGGCGCCACTCACGCCTACATGTCAGGCTAGTTCAAATGCTTGTTATTTATTTGCGTCATATACGCTTTACCGGTCACAATTGTATCTGCAGTATTCGCAGTGAGCACTTCATTTCATGACAAATGTGACCGATGTCACCCGATCGACACCAAAAATTGAGGATAAGCATTAACTTGCATTAATTATTTTATTTTAAAGCGGGGGAGTCGTCACCTGCGCATGCGTCAGATGGCCATGGCGTATCGTTATTTACACACAAGCGTCCACCCGTGAGCCTTTGCGTTTTTGGCATGCGTTGTTATCGTCGGTTGGGACTCAATTCCCACGCGTGCGCAGGCGACGACCCTTCCGCTTTAATGCGATAATATGAGCAGTCAAAATAAACATTCAAAGGAAACGAAGTCGTTGTTCTCCCTGTGGTTTGTAATTCCATGCACAAGTGTTTACCATATTCCATATTCTTTTGAAACAAATCGCCCGTAGACGTATTTTCAGAAACCATATAATTGAAAAAAACCAAAAACAATTAGAAACTTTTGATAAATTTCCATTCAATATCACATGAAGTCAGCCAGACCCTCCCCTCCCTACACTATTCACATTACAGTCCACGGTGTCTCTGCAAACATTGAATGTTTTTACTAAAGTAAACACAAGTCTCAGTATTTATGATTTCCTGAGGCTCTGGTGTAAACGATTTATAAATATGTAAGCAGCGTCCACTCAGACGTGAAAGACCTCCGACCTATTGCATTACCCGTTGTTCCGAGAATAAAAACAACCAATCTTGATCGACTGTGGCGAACTATACAGTGAATGTGAAACTTCTATGGTAGCAATGAAGAGCGAACAGTGTTTCTCCGTTCTTGTACTCGTGTTGGTATGTTTTTCAGGGAATGGCAAGGGAAGTGCCGGACTCGATACGTCACTGACATCCTGGGAAACATTAGATGAACTATTTGAGCTTTGCGATCTTCTTGGATGGGTACCCCAAGGTAAATCATTATACAGTGTATGTATCTATACCTATGTGTTATGACGTCCACTCTGAATGTACTTGGCTGTTACGTGTTATTCAGTACAGGTATATAATGTCGCTAACAATCTGTGTTTGCTTTTTAGTTCATGCAACCCCACAGTTTACCTTACGTGTTTTATAAATTACTATCTCACATACCCACTGTTTAGCGTTCAAATTTCGTGAAAACAAACAAACAATGTATTTTATACGCGTCGTGGATTGGAACTTATTTCTAATAAAACACTGTGCAACGATCATGAACTGCACTTCATTGCTTGACCACACTGACCCAGAACCCGATGCGTCATTGACATTTATTATATGGATTCGTTTTCAGTAGAATACATACAAGTGATTATTGGTGTTTGTCTGCTGACAACAGTCATCGACATTAGTAGACGCCATTAGTATGAGCCGTGCCCCGTGCCTGCCTACTAATGGATTTTCCTTGTTGTTATTACTCTGTATACATTTCCAGACTAGATGAGCTCACATTACATATCTCGAATAGTTTTAGTCTGACGATTTTTTTTCTCAGCTTGAGGGTAGGTTATTGAAAATTACGAAGTATGTACAAGCAAACTGTCATCGATTGATTGAATTGATAAATTTTTAAAACTTAAATTCAGAAAATTTAGATTATTATTATATTCCAAACAATTATCATCAATTGAACTATCAGGGGGAAAATCTTCTTCTCTCGGGGTCTCTACACTGTCAGGGGAAAACTCGTCTCGTCTCTCTATCTCGTCCCCTTGAGGTACGGGATCGGGAAAATCACTTTAACTTTACAGTCAAATAAGACACACACAACGAAATACGTTTCAACTCTCGTCTTAGTCGATCTTTTGGAGCACTCTATAAGACACAGCGCCCTGGGGAAAAGTCCCCAAGACTCTCACAAGGCTGAACCAAGACTAGCCCAAGACTGGACTGCCTCAAGGCTCGCTCCTGGACTCTCTCGGACTGCGTCTGTCGTGGAGTATTCGCCAAGACCAACTCAAACTCTCTTTATTCATTTTCAAAACTCTAACCAATTACAAAACAGTAAAAGACTCTAGGGCGTAACCTTCAATCATAAAGCCAATCACACTAAGTACTGAATACGTCATATCTTTTGATTAATCGTTCACTACATTAATAACTATGATTATAAACTGTCAGAATAATTAGTAATTAGTTCCAAATCACTTAGCCAAGTTCCGTCCAAAACTTCAAATAGGCCTACACGATGACAGACATAACACAGCAATTCGCTAATAATCAGTTAATTAAGTCGGTTAACAGATACGCAAAAACAAATTCATGACAGAACAATCATCATCCATTCTTCCATGTTTATTACCCAACCTTTCCTATTAAAAACTTTCCAATCCGGCAGCAGTTTTCTTCTTAGGAGTAGACCAACAAAAACTCTTACTGGTAGCCACAAAGCTGTTCGCATCCTGCTATGTCTCCCACGCATCCTTGTCAAGTCTTGTACATTGACAAATATTTCACACCGTGGAAAAAATAACAGCAAATTCATCATGGGAAAAAAAACGTCAATTGAAGGAAAACAATATTTTGAACAGATCCCGCATCGCTCCCTGGCAGAATGTGCAATGACCCCCCCCCCCCCAATGATTCAACGTTCTCTGAGGCATGTCAAGCAGTAGTTGCCAGTATTTAGTAGATGGTGTTTTTATAACTCACGCCTAAATCTTGATTCCATAGAAAAATAAATCAAGATGTGCTTCAATATCCGACACAGCAGTGTGTAATGTGATTGGAACAGATGTTGGACAATGTTTATTCAATGACTTCACCTTCTTATGAAAACTGTCATGTACTATGCCAAAAACACTCCAAAATGGGTTTCACGTTTAACAGTAAATTGTTACAATATTAATTACTCTCGAAAACATATTTTTTGGAAATCCAACTCATGTGTCTACTTTGGGTTCAAAAGTCATTACCTATGAGACACGTTTTCATTTACACAGGGCATCCTCGACCAATTTACCGACAAGATCTACCTGCAGACTACATAGCATACTGGGAGCTCGAGGTCAATGACACCGATTACGTCATCATATCGTCAAGTGCAAAAACCGGTGACTATCGATTGAACCAACAAGGCCCATTACCAAGTCCTACTACACTACTGGACAAGTATGCGTCATCAATTCAATGTCAATGTCATCGTTATTATATGCTATCTCCAGATGGACAGATGTATTGTCAGGATGAGGAAGACAGAATAGTTGCCATGACAACTGAAAACTTGATTGACATTGGAAAAAACGATGAAGTATGTTCCATATTGTTTTGTAATATGACTATAAGACTTTAGCTCTGAAGTTTATACTCATTTGTGAAATGAACTATGCGACGGTGCAAGTGTATTTTTGACGTGCAGTTTCCAGTTTGTTTTCAATGCTCCACAAGTTGAGGAGTTCTTGAGTTCTTGGTAATGTGTGATGTGGAATCATTGCGTGTGTCTGTTTGTTTAATGTGGACTGTAGACGTGGTTCGTGCAAGCGACACTTCGACTCTTGCTATTCCCGCTGGACTACATACATTTGATTAACTACAAGTGACTATAGTGATAAATAATGTATGACGTAAACCTTATTTAATTGACAAATGGACATATATGGGTAATTATTATGTGGTCTGAGACTTGAATAATATATGATGTGTCCAATTTCACAATCTTGGATTTTGGATGCGTTCCTGTATATCTTTACATTCATCCATCTGATATTCATAATTACGTTCTCGTAATTTCAAGATTTTGGCGTGTATTATAATACTAAAAGTTGTATAGATTGTTCGAATATCTTTTATTATCCATTTTGTGGCATATTGTTGCATTGCAGTATACAAAGATGGACACTCTAGCAAAAATCTTGTTCGTACAACAAGACGAAATACGAGCGGAATGGGACCAGCGCCGAATTAAAGTTGAGCAATCAGCTGTGTGGTCTACTGTGACCAAGTTCAATGAAGCATTGTGGGATAGTTATGATGATGATAATGACGTCATCGATTTATTCCATAGTGACAGTTACTCAGAGCAAGCCATATCACCAGGTACGTGAAAACACTGTCGGATACTATTCAAAGATCGCTTTTTACCTTGCCTGTACCATCAAAGATGGAAGGGAAAGGTATATTAAGGGAAACATTTTTTGTCCGGCGTTGTCGTGGTCGTCGTCGTTGTTGTCGTCGTTAATAATTGATATCGTGTGCACAATAACTTTACTAATTCTATTCCGAACTTTATCAAACCTGGTCACCTTATTCATCAGTATAAAGTCTTTCCTGAGTTTGAACAACAAATGTCATGTATGAAAATATCATGCAAAAATTGAGAAAATCTGATAAAATATTTTGACTGTTTCTACTTGACTGATCACTAGTGATACGCATCAAAGATCATTGATCTCAGTAGAAATATGCATTGTCGTCTGTGTTCAATGAAGCAAATAATTTATCTTGTAATAATATCCTTGGTAATGTATCTCCCAAATCCCATGGGAATACTATACTGGGTTTCAAAACCAATTAATCCATGGAGAGATTTTTTTGCACAGTCTGATACACATTTGCAAACCTGCCAATAAAATCTTTACAGAAAACAAGCTGTCAGAAAATCAATAGAAGCACTCCTATGAACTGGGTGCCAAACTTTGATCAAGATCTGAAGCTAATAAAAAATCTGTTTAGTTCAAAGTTATCAAATCAAAAACAATACATAAAAAGCAAAACGTTGCATCCACATTTTGAAAAAAAAAAATTTACTAAAATATGTGTATTCTGTATTTGACAAACAGTTTATTCGACAAATGAAAATTCACAGGAATTTGTTTCAGCTTTTAGAACAGAATGATATAGCTTTTATAATACTAATTTTAAAACGCACTTTAAAAACAAAGATTGCAGTGTTTGAAGATGTAGATTTTCAGGAGGCAACAGTACCGTTGACTTCTCTCTCCACTGGACACTGAACTAACTATTTAGGTTGATTTGCATACAAAGCAAATTTTGCAACATGATAGCTATTCATAGAGAGTGTTTTTTTACTTTTCATATAATACAGTAGTCACACAATGGATATAATAAGGCAGTTCATATTTGTCTCAGTGAATCATTAATTTTTGACAGACACCTGTACAAAATACTTAGACAAAAGCCAGCTAAGATTTTCTGTTATCTTGCATGTTTTATGAATCTATTCACGTCTAAATGCAGCACTTTTTTTCTACGATGAGGCATTTATTTTTATACTAAAGTATCTGAATAAACTTGAATAAAGCTGGAAATTACATCCCTTAAAATAATTAAACAAATTAGGTACCAATGTTTTTGTAAGATATTTACATCTACCAAGGACAATCGGTAGATTCCCCACTGTTGGTCCAACCCCAAAATTTTGTATTCAAAATTAATTTTGACAATGCATATTTATATTGAAACAAACTGTGATAAAGGGAATAATATTATATAACAAAGGGCAAGGTCACCAGAGTTCAACTATGTTTAATTATATAATCATCGTATATAATCACGTTATAAATTATTTTTAAACATTAATATTAAATTGGACTTGTAGAAATATGTTTTTTTAAGTATTAACATGCCTTCCTCGACGTAGCTTACCCGATGTGCTACGGGCACAGCAAACCTATTCATTTTCTTGAAAATATTTATAAATTTCAATGGCAGCTGGATCCAACCAGCGAGCGAAGTCCACAGGGACGTCATTTGAAAATGTTTCCAAGTTATTTCATCGGCTAAGAAGCTCTAAGTTTAAATTGCAAACTTTATAAATATTGGAATGGGGTTGTTGTGTCGACAGTAGATGTAACTGTTTCTTTTTTTATTGCCTGATTACAGGTGAGATGATACAAATTCCCCTTGGAGATGTAACACATACACCAAAAGTCAGGTTTCTACCATTTGAAATGAACATGACTGAAGAGGATAGGTCTGAGTGGCAACAAAGGTTGTGTCGAGTGCTTCTTGACATATGTAAGGTGAACAGTTATACAAGTATCGATGAGACCAAGGTGTCTGTCAACCACAAACTAGGCAGGCGTTCACTGGAATTGAAATTGCACGATGATGAGGAATTCGTAAAGGAAATACTGGATGGAAGAGAAATCGGTTTTCATATTGAAATCCATCTTAATAATGGAGAAGTCATTTTGAAGCGATTCGGAATAGATTTGAGTTCCCACATGAACCGATATAGGCGGCACACCAGCACCCGTCCATGGAATAGTTGGTCGTATTCTGAAATTAAAAATGAGGAATTGTTTCCTGACTACTGGCAACATAGCGTAGATGGGTGTATGAGTGGATGCGGCCCTGTATCATGGACAATGGTGTTTGGATATTATGATCGTCTGGCCCATTCAAGTACTCCTCACGGACACTCTACAGCACTTTGGCGATGTGGGGAGGACGGTACCACAGGAAATGATGACTGCGTGGCGCCCGCTACGTTGAACGATACCACTAAAGAGTACGTGGAAGTAGTGAGGGAGCAAGTGGACACATTCTGTCTCTTAGGCCAAGGTGCTACTCCGCAGTGGGATATGGATGGAATAGCCAAATTTTACCAAAGTAGGCAAGGCGGCTCTTCGCATATAACGACTTGGAACACTGGTGGACCACATGGTTTTCTGGGTTGGTACAGTGATCAAGTGGCAAATGGAATCGTTAATGCAATAAAAGATGCCCAACTGCCTGTAGTTGTTGGATATCGTGTCGGCGGGAAATTAGATCGCCAACATTATGCCGTAGCAACCAAACTACGACGTCGCTCAAGACGTTTCCGTCACTGTTATTTGTTTTTCTGCAATGACTGGAAAACTGAATGGGACAATGATATGTACATCCATTTTGGGGGTCAGAATGGTTCTGGTAATGGTTGGCGTTCTTGCGAAGGATTCTTTGGCGGTGTAGCATACCCTTCTTAGATACATTAATTCAAATTTATCCTTTGAAGATATCACTGTATCTTAACTGCGTGTGTATATCTCGTTTATGAAAATGACATTGTTCCCAATATTCAAGAATATTGCATGCATCACACTACTCTTATTTAGATTAAAGTCTATACTAGTATACTCATCAGACCTCGTTTTATTCGTCATTTTTTAATAACTTACAACAATGTATACTTCCATGCATACATAGATGAGAAAGTCGTTTCCTTGTGCGTTTGTATTGTCTAGCTGTTCATCTCACACGGCTGCCTCTTTGGGATCAGTTGACAATTAGATGATGATGTCATTAGCGAACTTTGCGGATTTATGATGGCGCCGTGTGTAATCATTGGATATTTGAGTTTCTGAGCTGTTGCGTCATACAGCAGTTTGATCTGATATTGATGGCCGCTTATATTTGGCCTTGTTTGATCAAATATGTTATTTTGCTAAAATTTCCGCATTTGTTTTGCCCTTTTACAGTTTCCGCGGTGTCACATTGAAAGCATACTACAATATAGTTGCGTATCGCAACTTGTATCCTGGACATTCTAGAACCGATCACGTTCAAATTTCACACATACACCTTAGGATAGATATGTACGTCTATGCATTTCACGATCCGATTCGGGATGGACAAATGACAGATGGATTTTGTCCAAACTTGGTATATACATTGGACATTATGGGATATTATGATGTA